AAAAGGATTAACACCGCTGACCTAATGGATATGCTGCAATCACAAGACACCGCTGACCCTAATGTATCCTCAGTGACTGACCTGGTGGCTCATTACAACAGTGAGCTAGCTCTCCTCCCACCTGGATGTTCTGGCCCCCCTTAAAATAAGGGTAGTCTCCTTCAACATCCCAGCGCCATGGTCCACTCCTGCCATGAAAGCCACAGGATGACAACTAGTACGGCTCTCATTATCCATAAGGAGGCCTACAAACATCACATTCACAAGGACTCACTTTCCACAATCAAATCTGCCTATTTCTCCAACATCATAAGGAATGAACAAGGAAACCCAAGAGTGCTCTTCTCAACCATCAACAAACTTCTCCACCCACTGGACAAACCCTATCTCACAATCAACACAGACCTCTGTGACAGTTTTCTGGCCTCCTTTCAAAACAAAGTGGAGGCTATCTACCAATAGCTGCAACAGTCTCACCCCCCCAGAAAAGTATGGTAAGTTACAGTGAGTGTCTTTGATAACTGCCTAGTTGGTTAGCTAGCTAAGTGTAAAACGCAGCTAACTAGCTAACTGCAGTTATCATAAACCATTATTATCTAACTAGCTACAGTAGCGAAATATCTGTCAGATAAGGTAAGGTAAGCAGGATCGTGGCATGTCACAAACAATGCATGTTGGCTAGCTAGCTCACATTAGCTATATCACGCTAGCTAGCTAGCTAATGCCTACAGATGTAACTCAGCTTTTTTGCAGCGGCAGGCTCATCCACAGCCACTGCTATCATTATGACCAGCGCTGCTGGGAAGTTAATATTTTAATCGAAAATGACACTAATTGTAGATGATGTTCAAATATAGTTGAACAATTTGTCATGAATGATTATACAAAAAAGAGGAATGAGGCCAATAATGATCATATTCGACAACACAACTGCTTAGCTACATTTTTTAGTCATTTAGCAGACGCTCTTATCCAGAGCGACTTACAGTTAGTGAGTGCATACATTTTTCATACTGGCCCCCCGTTGGAATCGAACCCACAACCCTGGCGTTGCAAGCGCCATGCTCTACCAACTGAGCTACAGGAGGCCCTAATAGAACTAGCTTGATAACTTAGCTAGCTATCTATGACCAGGTGTTCAAAAACAAAACAAAATCTGAGCCCCAACCACCTCAGCACCACCTTCTTAAAATAACTATTTGATATGATATGGCATTTTTTTGCTCTAGATTGCAGGAAATGCCAGTTACAAATCTCTGAGAGCAAAAACCAAGCAATGAGGTCAAAGGAAGGTCCGTAGAGCTCCGAGACAGGATTATGTCGAGGCACAGATCTGGGGAAGGGTACCAAAACATTTCTGCAGCATTGAAGGTCTCCAAGAACACAATGGCCTCCATCATTCTTAAATGGAAGAAGTTTGGAACCACCAAGACTCTTCCTAGAGCTGACAGTCCGGCCAAACTGAGCAATCGGGGGAGAAGGGCCTTGGTCAGGGAGGTGACCAAGAACCCGATGGTCACTCTGACAGAGCTCTAGAGTTCCTCTGTGGAGATGTGAGAACCTTACAGAAGGACAACCATCTCTGCAGCACTCCACCAATCAGGCCTTTATGGTACCATGGCCAGACGGAAGCGACTCCTCAGTAAAAGGCACATGACAGCCCGCTTGGAGTTTTCCAAAAGGCACCTAAAGTCTCTCAGACCATGAGAAACAAGATTGTCTGGTCTGATGAAACCAAGATTGAACTCTTTGGCCTGAATGCCAAGCATCACGTCTGGAGGAAACCTGGCACCATCCCTACGGTGAAGCATGGTGGTGGCAGCATCATGCTGTGGGGATGTTTTTCAGCGGCAGGGACTGGGAGACAAGTCAGGATTGAGGGAAAGATGAATGGAGCAAAGTACAGAGAGATCCTTGATGAAAACCTGCTCCAGAGTGCACAGGACCTCAGACTGGGGCAGAGGTTCCCCTTCCAACAGGACAACGACCCTAAGCACACAGCCAAGACAACGCAGGAGTGGTTTCGGGACAAGTCTCTGAATGTCCTTGACTGGCCCAGCCAGAGCCCAGACTTGAGCCTGACCTAACATCTCTGGAGAGACTTGAAAATAGCTGTGCAGCGACGCTCCCCATCCAACCTGACAGAACTTGAGAGGATCTGCAGAGAAGAATGGGAGAAACTCCCCAAATACAGGTGTGCCAAGCTTGTACCGTCATACCCAAGAAGACTCAAGGCTGTAATCGCTGACAAAGGTGCTTCAACAAAGTACTGAGTAAAGGGTCTGAATACTTATGTAAATGTGATATTTCCATTGTTTATTTTAAATAAATTAGCAAAAATGTCTAAAAACCAGTTTTTGCTTTGTCATTAGGGGTATTGTGTGTAGATTGAGGGGTAAAAAAGATTTAATCAATTTTAGAATAAGGCTGTAACCTAACAAAATGTGGAAAAGGCACTGTAGGTCCCTCAAACTTAACATTAACATTACTTGGTTGTGTTATTTGTGATGTCTTGTTTTGTCCCTTAGAGGTAATGGTAAAATTATACTTGTCCCTGAAAAAATTACTCTGTTAGCATATAGGAGTGGAAATGGTATGCAATATCAGCTTCAATACAGTAGACTAAGAAAGAAAGTGAATGTACAAATGAGGAAGTTACACAATTGTGTAATACATATCAAATGACCCATGAGGACCTGCAACAAAATACTGTACTCCAACTTTCCCCACAAGTCCAAAATGCTGTGACAAGAACAGTATAATTGCAATTCAGATTGTATTTCACATGTACTAGGATTACATCAGACAGAACTAATCCTTTTAAGTATTTAATCTGAATCTAAACTTGATATACAGTACATTGTGCCACACACAAACATGATATGCTCCTCTGTTGTCACACAAGATAAATGCTTGTATGTGCAGTGGGGGAAAAAAGTATTTAGTCAGCCACCAATTGTGCAAGTTCTCCCACTTAAAAAGATAAGAGAGGCCTGTAATTTTCATCATAGGTACACGTCAACTATGACAGACAAATTTAGATTTTTTTTTCTCCAGAAAATCACATTGTAGGATTTTTAATGAATTTATTTGCAAATTATGGTGGAAAATAAGTATTTGGTCACCTACAAACAAGCAAGATTTCTGGCTCTCACAGACCTGTAACTTCTTCTTTAAGAGGCTCCTCTGTCCTCCACTCGTTACCTGTATTAATGGCACCTGTTTGAACTTGTTATCAGTATAAAAGACACATGTCCACAACCTCAAACAGTCACACTCCAAACTCCACTATGGCCAAGACCAAAGAGCTGTCAAAGGACACCAGAAACAAAATTGTAGACCTGCACCAGGCTGGGAAGACTGAATCTGCAATAGGTAAGCAGCTTGGTTTGAAGAAATCAACTGTGGGAGCAATTATTAGGAAATGGAAGACATACAAGACCACTGATAATCTCCCTCGATCTGGGGCTCCACGCAAGATCTCACCCCATGGGGTCAAAATGATCACAAGAACGGTGAGCAAAAATCCCAGAACCACACGGGGGGACCTAGTGAATGACCTGCAGAGAGCTGGGACCAAAGTAACAAAGCCTACCCTCAGTAACACACTACGCCGCCAGGGACTCAAATCCTGCAGTGCAAGACATGTCCCCCTGCTTAAGCCAGTACATGTCCAGGCCCGTCTGAAGTTTGCTAGAGTGCATTTGGATGATCCAGAAGAGGATTGGGAGAATGTCATATGGTCAGATGAAACCAAAATATAACTTTTTGGTAAAAACTCAACTCGTCGTGTTTGGAGGACAAAGAATGCTGAGTTGCATCCAAAGAACACCATACCTACTGTGAAGCATGGGGGTGGAAACATCATGCTTTGGGGCTGTTTTTCTGCAAAGGGACCAGGACGACTGATCCATGTAAAGGAAATAAAGAATGGGGCCATGTATCGTGAGATTTTGAGTGAAAACCTCCTTCCATCAGCAAGGGCATTGAAGATGAAACGTGGCTGGGTCTTTCAGCATGACAATGATCCCAAACACACCGCCCGGGCAACGAAGGAGTGGCTTCGTAAGAAGCATTTCAAGGTCCTGGAGTGGCCTAGCCAGTCTCCAGATCTCAACCCCATAGAAAATCTTTGGAGGTAGTTGAAAGTCCGTGTTGCCCAGCGACAGCCCCAAAACATCACTGCTCTAGAGGAGATCTGCATGGAGGAATGGGCCAAAATACCAGCAACAGTGTGTGAAAACCTTGTGAAGACTTACAGAAAACGTTTGACCTGTGTCATTGCCAACAAAGGGTATATAACAAAGCATTGAGAAACTTTTGTTATTGACCAAATACTTATTTTCCACCATAATTTGCAAATAAATTCATTAAAAATCCTACAATGTGATTTTCTGGATATTTTTTTCTCATTTTGTCTGTCATAGTTGATGTGTACCTATGATGAAAATTACAGGCCTCTCTCATCTTTTTAAGTGGGAGAACTTGCACAATTGGTGGTTGACTAAATACTTTTTTCCCCCCACTGTATATAGGGGAAGAGACGATTAGGGGAGGAAATAACATCACTATGCAATATGCCCCCTGTTGTCACACATGAGAAATGCTTGTATCTGACAGGAGTTCTCAGGCATTTTATATGTCAAGAGACAGAAATGTCTAAAAAACCAGTTTTTGCTTTGTCATTAGGGGTATTGTGTGTAGATTGAGGGGGGAAAAACGATTTAATCAATTTTAGAATAAGTCTGTAACCTAACAAAATGTGGAAAAATTCAAGGGGTCTGAATACTTTCCGAAGGCACTGTAGGTCCCTCAAACTCAACTCTGGACCTCGAAGTGAGTTCAACTGCGTTTTTTAATTGTGATTTGACTGTGTGCAATGAAGCATTTAAATAGAATTGTAAAAAAAAAAAATACTACTTACATCCATAAAGAATGCACATGGTTATCATGATGAGCAATGATAAGAGTCATGGACATTATAGACTATGATAAGAATCAGCTTTAATTTGTGCAAGTGAATAGTGCAAAGATTGTAACATGGTATACTGCATTTACTGTAACTTACAACCATCTGGTCTGCGAGCTTAAACAAACACACTATGCACATAAAACCACATACCATTGACTTTTATAGGAACTGCTCTACAGTAACAGGAAATTGCTCAAGATGGCAGTATATGGCCCTGACCTAAGGTGACACCCACATCCTCCCTTGTACATCCTCTCTATGAGTCTGCTTCGTGTGTCCCCCGTCCTTATCATTAGCTCTATTTCAATCCTATTATTCCAGACCATACCCCACCTCCCCACTGGTGATTTGGTAGAGAATTCTTGAAAAAAAACCCTGCAATGTAAAAAACGTACATCCTGTCTAGAGCTCAGTGGCTTCTGTCTTCCTCCAGGTCACCCACAGAGGGATTGAAGCACACATCCAGTTTGCGACGGAGACGGGCCTTGAGCATCAAGCGGCGTTTCACACTGATTGAGGTGGACTCCTGGTACTTGAGCTTGGCGTAGTAGTCCGAGAACTTGTTGAAGAGGAGGGAGATGGGCATGCCATTGAGTATTATGCCGAAGAAGATGCAGGAGAATGCCACCACGCGGCCCGGGAGGGATACGGGCACCACGTCCCCATAACCCACTTGGGAGATGCTCACCTGTAGTGCAGGGTTAGAGGGACACACTCTCAGAGATTGCCTTCCTCTGTCGTTATCAACATGTTTTCTGTTAATAATGACACTAAGGTTATAACAGTAGTATGTAGTGAAGATAGCATGGATTGAAGTCTCAAGATTGAAGTATTAACATTAACATTACTTGGTTGTGTTATTTGTGATATCTTGTTTTGTCCCTTAGAGGTAATGGTAAAATTATACTTGTCCCTGAAAAAATTACTCTGTTAGCATATAGGAGTAGAAATGGTATGAAATATCAGCTGCAATACAGTAGACTAAGAACGAAAGTGAATGTACAAATGAGGAAGTTACACAATTGTGTAATACATATCAAATGACCCATGAGGACCTGCAACAAAATACTGTACTCCAACTTTCCCCACAAGTCCAAAATGCTGTGACAAGAACAGTATAATTGCAATTCAGATTGTATTTCACATGTACTAGGATTACATCAGACAGAACTAATCCTTTAAGTATTTAATCTGAATCTAAACTTGATATACAGTACGTTGTGCCGCACACAAACATGATATGCTCCTCTGTTGTCACACAAGAGAAATGCTTGTATCTGACATGAATTCTCAGGCATTTTATATGTCAAGAGACAATTGGGGGAGGAAATAACAACACTATGCTGAGTATGTAACTACAGAGGGAGTGTTGGTTATTTCTCAACAATATGAAAAAAACATTGTATTCACAAGGTCCATATTTATGTTGTATTGTTCAAACTACATATTTTAAGGCTATCTCTAGCATCAAGGACAAAGTCAAGTCAACCAAAAGCTACATACAGTGGCTTGCGAAAGTATTCATCCCCCTTTGTATTTTTCCTATTTTGTTGCCTTACAACCTGGAATTAAAATATATTTTTGGGGGGTTTGTATCATTTGATTTACACAACATGCCTACCACTTTGAAGATGCAAAATAATTTTTATTGTGAAACAAACAACAAATAAGACAAAAAAACAGAAAACCTGGGCATGCATAACTATTCCCCCCCCCCCCCAAAGTCAATACTTTGTAGAGCCACCTTTTGCAGCAATTACAGCTGCAAGTCTCTTGGAGTATGTCTCTATAAGCTTGGCACATCAAGCCACTGGGATTTTTTGCCTATTCTTCAAGGCAAAACTGCTCCAGCTCCTTCAAGTTGGATGGGTTCCTCTGGTGTACAGCAATCTTTAAGTCATACCACAGATTCTCAATTGGATTGAGGTCTGGGCTTTGACAAGGCCATTCCAAGATATTTAAATGTGTCAACTTAAACCACTCGAGTGTTGCTTTAGCAGTATGCTTAGGGTCATTGTCCTGCTGGAAGGTTAACCTCCGTCCCAGTCTCAAATTGCTGGAAGACTGAAACAGGTTTCCCTCAAGAATTTCCCTGTATTTAGCGCCATCCATCATTCCTTCAATTCTGACTAGTTTCTCAGTCCCTGCCGATGAAAAACATCCCCACAGCATGATGCTGCCACCACCGTGCTTCATTGTGGGGATGGTGTTCTCAGGGTGATGAGAGGTGTTGGGTTTGCGCCAGACATAGCGTTTTCCTTGATGGCCAAAAAGCTCAATTTTAGTCTCATCTGACCAGAGTACCTTCTTCCATATGTTTGGGGAGTCTTCCACATGCCTTTTGGCGAACACCAAACGTGTTTGCTTATTTTTTTCTTTAAGCAATGGCTTTTTTCTGGCCACTCTTCCGTTAATCCCAGCTCTGTGGAGTGTACGGCTTAAAGTGGTCCTATGGACAGATACTCCAATCTCCGCTGTGGAGCTTTGCAGCTCCTTCAGGGTTATCTTTGGTCTCTTTGTTGCCTCTCTGATTAATGCCCTCCTTGCCTGGACCGTGAGTTTTGGTGGGCGGCCCTCTCTTGGCAGGCTTGTTGTGGTGCCATATTCTTTCAATTTTTTACTAATGGATTTAATGGTGCTCCGTGGGATGTTCAAAGTTTCGGATATTTTTTATAACCCAACCCTGATCTGTACTTCTCCACAACTTTGTCCCTGACCTGTTTGGAGAGATCCTTGGTCTTCATGGTGTCGCTTGCTTGGTGGTACCCCTTGCTTAGTGGTGTTGCAGACTCTGGGGCCTTTCAGAACAGGTGTATATATACTGAGATCACGTGACACTTAAATAAAGTCCACCTGTGTGCAATCTAACTAATTATGTGACTTCTGAAGGTAATTGGTTGCACCAGAACTTATTTAGGGGCTTCATAGCAAAGGGGGTGAATACATATGCACGCACCACTTTTCCATTATTTATTTTTTAGAATATTTTGAAACAACTTATGTTTTTCATTTCACTTCACCAATTTGGACTATTTTGTGTATGTCCATTACATGAAATCCAAATAAAAATATTTAAATTACAGGTTGTAATGCAACAAAATAGGAAAAACGCCAAGGGGGATGAATACTTTTGCAAGGCACTGTACATAGTATAATTTACATTCAAGTCGTCGTTTGATACTGTCATGGTTAATTTACAAAAGGGAGACATTTAAGTGTACAATAAAGAACAAACAAAACTATGTCGAGATCAAGTTTTGGTACTCACCGTAGCCCACCACCAGGTATCAGGAATGCTCCTGAATGGAGAGCCCTCAACATCCCGTTCTACCGAATGCAGGAGGGCAGAGAACATGAAAATGCCCATGGCGATGAAGAGGAAAAGGCAACACACCTGCTGGTAGCACTGGCGCAGGGTGAACCCAAACGCCCTCATGCCGGTGGAGTGGCGGGCCAGCTTCAGGATGCGAAAGATGCGCATCAGCTTGACAACTTTGAGCACTTTGCTGACCTTGCTGACACGAGCCAGGGTTTTGAGATCTTCCTGGGCACTGAGGTCCTCTACGTTGGCAAACGCTTCAAATATCAGCTGGATAAAGTAGGGCATGACAGCCACCAGGTCCACCAAGTTCAGGGCGCTTTTGACGAAGTGCTTTATGTCACAAGTGGTGACAATGCGCATGAAGTACTCAAATGTGAAGAAGAGAATGGAGAAAATCTCTACCCATTCCAGGTAGGTCTTGCCAGAGAGGGTGTGGGTCCTCAGTTCCTTCACAGTGTTAAGGGTCATAGCCACGATGGAGATGAGCACCAAGAGGCTAGAGAAAACAGCAAAGGATTTCGCCGACAGCGAGGAGTAAGGGTTCTCCATCAGGTCCCAGAGGTCTTTGCGAACTCCACCCAGGAACATGGTCTTGTAGCCTTCCTCATCATGCTTTATCTCAATCTCCGCTAAGAGTTCCTTCTCCACCTTCAGATTGTCCCTGAGTTCATCCACCTTCTCCTCAAACAGGATACGGCAACAGCGCTGGGTGTCGTTCCAGCTCAGGCCCCAGTACTGCATCTCCTCCTCGAAGTTGATAGGGCACAGTTCCCGCATCACCCACAGAACACCGCTGCTGTAGAAGTGAAAGATGTAGTAAAAGAAAGTTGGGTCGCGATCGAAGAAGAACTCGTTGGTGAGCACTGAGTAGTCATCACACAGAGTGAGCTGTTTGACGCGGTCGGTGCACAGGGCCAAGGAGCCTATCCGTGTGCGAGGGAATCTGACTGCCATCTTCTTGGGAATGTGAAAGACTTTTCCCCCTACGTTGATGTTCATGTTTTGTTGTGGTCTCAACGTCTCTTTTTGGTGTCTTGGGATCTGACCCTCAGGAGCAGGGCTGTCCAGGTGTTCCATAGAGTTCCATGGCTTAACAGAACTGCCCTGGGAGAAATAAAAGGCTTTTTCTTCCTCAATGGTCTGTGAGAAACTGGCTCCCAGCACATTGATGGTAGAGCGTCGCTCTTTCAGCTTAGTCTTTAGCTGAGCACTATTGGCATCCATGATACACTTTCAAGACACTTTCGTTGGTTTTCAGTGAGTGATGGATTTTAATTGTGCATAGAAACCAACCAGTCCCAAATGGGTTAACAATGTAGGAATAGCGCACAAGAATATTAGAAAAACACAAAGGGAATTTACTCAGTTTAAACACTCAGAAGTGCGAGTCGTATCAACCAGGGTGCAGTCTTCATCAGACGTTAACAGAGGAACAAGGGAGGAAACACTTAGAGCGTATGCTAAATGACTAAAAATGTAAAAATGTAAATGAAACACTGCTGGAAAAAAGGCCCCATCGACTCAGTACATCTTGCCGAGCCGCCTGAAGCATCCAATAAATCCTCTAGGCCCAGTTATCCCTTTCAGTGGCATTACCTCCTGCAGTACTTCTCAGTTGTGGTCCTGTAAGTCCAAAGGGCCACAAAGAGGAGGAACAAAGCCTCCTTTCCTTCCCCTGACGAGGACCGTTATGTGTGGAAGGAGAGTAAAAAGTCATTTGAGCAGAAGATCCAAGAGGCTCTGATCTAATCTCATTGCTGCCCTTCCTCTCTTTCTTAAAGCAGTTATAAATAGGAGTGACGAGGGGAGATTAGTGCACACGTTCATTTGGAGATTTTGAACTTGGAAGAGGACGCTGGCTGCAACACTTGCACAAGGCTGTCACTATTACTTTGTCAACTGCTCTTTTTAAAGAAATTGGGTTTCCATCCAGAAACAACCCCTATCGTCTCTACTTCCTAGACACTTCATGTTGATCCAAAAGTGGATAGGTTTTAGCAATTTGGTAGTGAGATAAGATACGTTCTTGTCTGTTTCCACAGAAATTGTCTTTAGAAACTCAATACAGGTCATAAAATACACTTGTACAGAACATGGTAGATGCCAGCTCCACTTTTCCCTCTGATAGGCTAAGGAGGAATGTGTGCCTTCTTGCTGAAAACGATCCATTCCTTTCAGATCTACACAAGTTCTTAGTGTAGGAACTAGGGGTTGTGTCTGAACAGGGCCAGTCAGATCCCAGAGCTTAGTGTAGGGGCTAGGGGTTGTGTCTGAACGGGGCCACAAGTAATTTATCTTACACGCACTGTATTGTTCTCTCACCCTGTGACGTTCCACAACCTGAACCAGTTAACCAATCTTCCTAAATCAATGGCCGATGGATTTTCTTATTCAGACTTGAATTATGGAAATGGTATAATAATCGTTTCATAAACTCCTCTTCAAATTTAATTCTGACTGGGAACACTAGTTGACAGTTTCAGTTTGTGGCAAGATGAGGGGCAGAATGCAGCCATAGACAGCCTAGCAGTCATTGGTGCCAATTTGTTTCAACATTTCTATTTCACCTTTATTTATACAGGTAAGTCAATTAAGAACAATGAGGCCAATCATTCATTCAATCATTCAGTAATCCCCACCACCGTAATCCACTCTACTGGACCTGATTGTGCATCATCAGAAAACTACTTAACCTGGATGCTCTATCGCTTCAGAAGACTTGAGGTCAAAAGTTCAACAGTCAACTAAGGCTACACATTTAGAAGACAGCCATGCACAAGTTTGTGGGCTTAACTACGGTAATGCTTGACAGGTTGATGTTTAACTGCCCTGTGATAATAAAATGTACTACTGCTTCTGTATCTTGTATAATAGAGTTTCCGACCATATCTATCACAGTAGTAATCCAAAGCGGCTTCATTTCCTTGATCTGAACTAATCAGGAAGTGAGGGAATTAAGGCGCAGCTCTCATCTCTGCTCATAATTCTTGTCATGCATGGTTTATAAAGGCAACCACATTACTCACTGTACAAAGCAATTGTACATTCAAAATGTATTGTCATGATTACAAAAGTAGGATCAAGCCTTTTATCAATGAAGGTGATAAGATACCATATTGATAGCCAACCATCCAAGACAGCATGTTAGTTAATGAAATCACCTCATGAATATGGAGAACACTATTTTATTTAATTCCATTTCAATTAAATAAACTCTGTCAACAAGTAAAGATGAACTGAAAGACTATTCAAAAGTAACCATAAAAATGGTCAGGCTTCAATAACGGCAGCCCTAAAAATAAATAGAACCTTTCTTCAAAACATAAATAATACATCTTACTCAGTAGTTAAGATTCCGCAGATACAATTTTTAAAAAACACGCATAAGATTAAACACAGGACAGCAAATAATTTACAATAATCAAACAAAGGCAAACAATTATTTTTCAATGAAGGCATAGCAACTGATCTAAACAATGCAGACCAGTAAAAATGACTTGATTACAGTGTTAAGTGTATACTCTACTACAACGTCAGAGCCACATTCTACCCCCTTATTGCCATTTTATATTAAAACACATCTCAACTTCAGTTGATCCCCAAACACCAGATAAGAGCAGAGATGCATGGAACTAGGAGCAGAATGTACAACCCATGTCTCTTTGTATGGCTGGTTCAGTTGTAAGGTTGGTTCAGCGTTTTGCATATACAGTGAGGGAAAAAAGTATTTGATCCCCTGCTGATTTTGTACGTTTGCCCACTGACAAAGAAATGATCAGTCTATAATTTTAATGGTAGGTTTATTTGAACAGTGAGAGACAGAATTACAACAAAAAAATCATGAAAAACACATGTAAAAAAAATTATACATTGATTTGCATTTTAATGAGGGAAATAAGTATTTGACCCCCTCTCAATCAGAAAGATTTCTGGCTCAGGGAGTGCTCCTAATCTCAGCTTGTTACCTGTATAAAAGACACTTGTCCACAGAAGCAATCAATCAGATTCCAAACTCTCCACCATGGCCAAGACCAAAGAGCTCTCCAAGGATGTCAGGGACAAGATTGTAGACCTACACAAGGCTGGAATGGGCTACAAGACCATCGCCAAGCAGCTTGGTGAGAAGGTGACAACAGTTGGTGTGATTATTCACAAATGGAAGAAACACAAAAGCACTGTCAATCTCCCTCGGCCTGGGGCTCCATGCAAGATCTCACCTTGTGGAGTTGCAATGATCATGAGAACGGTGAGCAATCAGCTCAGAACTACACGGGAGGATCTTGTCAATGATCTCAAGGCAGCTGGGACCATAGTCACCAAGAAAACAATTGGTAACACACTACGCCGTGAAGGACTGAAATCCTGCAGCGCCCGCAAGGTCCCCCTTGTGTTTGGAGGAGGAGGAATGCTGCCTATGACCCCAAGAACACCATCCCCACCGTCAAACATGGAGGTGGAAACATTATGCTTTGGGGGTGTTTTTCTGCTAAGGGGACAGGACAACTTCACCGCATCAAAGGGACAATGGACAGGGCCATGTACCGTCAAATCTTGGGTGAGAACCTCCTTCCCTCAGCCAAGGCATTGAAAATGGGTCATGGATGGGTATTCCAGCATGACAATGACCCAAAACACACGGCCAAGGCAACAAAGGAGTGGCTCAAGAAGAAGCACATTAAGGTCCTGGAGTGGCCTAGCCAGTCTCCAGACCTTAATCCCATAGAAAATCTGTGGAGGGAGCTGAAGGTTCGAGTTGCCAAACGTCAGCCTCGAAACCTTAATGACTTGGAGAAGATCAGCAAAGAGGAGTGGGACAAAATCCCTCCTGAGATGTGTGCAAACCTGGTGGCCAACTACAAGAAACGTCTGACCTCTGTGATTACCAACAAGGGTTTTGCCACCAAGTACTAAGTCATGTTTTGCGGGGTCAAATACGTATTTCCCTCATTAAAATGCAAATCAATTTATAACATTTTTGACATGTGTTTTTCTGGATTTTTTTGTTGTTATTCTGTCTCTCACTATTCTAATAGACTGATCATTTCTTTGTCAGTGGGCAAATGTACAAAATCAGCAGGGGATCAAATACTTTTTTCCCCTCACTGTACTGTATCAAATGGGGAGTGATAAATTATATGTGAATCAATTATGTATATACACATGTTTGGATAGATATATATACACACACGGTCTAAATATAATAAATAAATAAATGACAAGACTTACTTTGGACATTGAGTGCAAAAGGAAATTGAGATCATGTCACAATTCAAGTGAATGCATGAGGGACACAGTACCCCACATAGGCTGGACAAAGGCTGAGTTGTCCATCTGTAGCTAATCACTGATATGCATGAGGACCACCAAAGCTAGGGTGAATTCTAATTAAATTACAGTCAAGTTAGGAAAATCAATGATTTGGACAAAACATTTTCAAGTCAATTGTTCAAGTCATTTTCTAGCCTTCATTAAAACTGAAGTGGAGAGCCACAGTCAAGCGGGAGCACTGCTGGACACCGGTCTCTCTTACGCAAGTGACTTTGGACACTCCGTTGCAGTCCAAGTCCAGCTTTAGCAGAGTGTCCTGAGGGAGGAGATGGCAGCATACTAAGCATAGAGATCACATTCACCACTTAAGCCTTTTAACAGAGGGCAGTCTATCAGGTGAGGCACGGTTATGAGACACCAGGGTCCTTGGAGTCAATTACATGAATTTAATTCATCCTTTATTCATTAAAAGGAAATCCAATTTTATCAAAGGATTTAATTTATTATTCATTCCCATTGAGATCTATATTGGTTTTACCAGGAATCCCTTAAATAGGAGTTGAAACTCAACTCGATTAAATTCCATTAAAACTGAATAGACATTGCTCATAATGTCAAGTAACAAATTGTATAAAAATTCCTTCACTTGCTACATTGATTAAAGTTAAACTAAAAATTACTCATATTAGACGCTTCACTGAGGAAATTGTCCCCCCTTCATACTGTGGTGAACAAGCCCACTGACTCATCCTGTTCATCGGCAGGGCTTACCTTGACAGGACAAGTCTCAGGGCCCCGGTATGAGTGGATCTTGGGACTCGATCAGGGAGAAATCTTGGAAGGTGAGTGTCCTGGAGGGCTTGAACGCCTCCCTCCACCACCACAACGCCACCCCCACCAACAGCACACTCAGGACCACTGAGCAGAACATAGAGCAGTTAGTTTAGGTTGAGGTAACATTTGTATTTTTATTTTTTTAAAGGTACACATACTAGCCACTAATTTATAGTTTACATTTTTGTGTAAATAACTAAGTTAATACGTATTAAGTAGGTCTTATTAGCCATCGAGAGCTTTGGACTTAAAGGTTATATCTGCAAAAACATGATTCAGAGATAATTGGCTTTAAAGTTCAGAAACTCTCATTGGTTTGAATAGTGTCAACGATTTTTATATTGTATTCTTTTGACCTTAGGAATATGAACTGGGGTAT